TTTTCCAGGTAAGTACTCTACCATAATAACTACTTTCTACATAACATAGTTTGACGTAGCCCCTACTTGCTCACTCTTAATAATCCTTGTTGTTGTTACCCAGGTATTTTGTGTTGTATTGTCCATCTTATGGTCGCTGGCTACTGCTATGGTTTCGTTCATTCGTTATTTAAATGTTTTTTCCAGGATTCTTTTGTTGTTCCCCCAAAAGCCAGCAACCAAACTTCAATACCCTTAGTTGTGCAAGCAGTTACAACCTCTGTGATATTGCTTCTTTTCACTGTAAACTGGCAGTTGGTAGGCAGTAGCTTTGCTTGTGCAAAGTGGCGTGCCATTCTTCAAAACTGATTTTACTCGCCAATTAGTCTTTTGTGGTCGCACGTGAGACTGGGGGTGCTTACCATTTGACAGAAAAATCCGGTTGGGATGTCGAAAGCATAGTGGTAAGCGATTTACCAGTTTACCGTAGAAATGCCACATCCGTTAACTGTTTGAACCCAAAAAAGGGCGAATTTTTGTAGCGTGAGTCTGGAACCAACCAGAATGAAAGGACTACCTCAAAACGTACTCCTCAATTTTCGGCTGGAATTTCCGAAAAGTGACCTTACCATTTACCTTCCTTCCGAAATTTTCTGTCAAATGCTAAGCACCCTGGGTTTATGTTTTGTTGAATTGCATGATGCTGTGGCTTTTCTCATTGGCTATTAAGACGGGTTGCTTAGAAAACTGGGTTAAAGTAGTGCCATGCTGCAATTCGTGCACGCACCCAGTCTTACACACCAGGGTTGCAGTAAGCTATTTCTGAATTGCGCCTAGTCTCTTTTTTGAAGCAAGGCTAAGTACAACGCTCTAGTTCAAGTTCGATATATTAAAATTCAACATGACTCCGAGGCTTTAGGGACAAAACTGCAGATTTTTTGAGACTCCGTTGTCTCCCAATTATTTCCCAAAAGAGACTTGAGTGCAAAGACAACCAATAGAAAAAATATAATGACAGAACGCCTGGTAGTAATGTTAGAATTTTATTATATGGAATGTCGGCTGTTGGCATGAAAATAATTTATTATTCTCAAACAAATAAAACTCATCTTCACACTGAAAGTTTTGCACTTAGCCTGGTTTAAAAGTGAGAGATTTTGGAACTCGGAAATGGCCGGCTCATTTCTCCTGTTCGCTCTTTCTTACTGTACTTCAGTTAATAATTTATGCTTAAGAAGTATGTGGCATGTCATTCTTACAGTATTCCAATGTGTACATCCCCACACCTGAGATTAATCAGCTGATACATGATAAGAAGTTACAGGAGGAGTGTCTTCAGTACGTTGGAAAAAAAGGTAGGGAAATTCTGCAGCTGAAGGAACGTTCGGGAAATGTGTCAGGAGAGGGGAATTAGAGCCTTTTTAAAACCAGAAAACCGAAAAAGAAAAAAAATATATAAAAATACCAAACACAGATCCCCTATGAAAATCTTTGAAAAACGGAAAATCAAGGGATTTTAATGCTACTTTCGCCTTGCATTTCTTAGCCTGTGGCTAGCTGCCCCCTCCCTTGGCTGAACAGAGGTTATGCATTTCTACGCTTTGTGATTAGGTAAAAAATTCTTCCCCCCGCCCCTGTCACATCCTTTCTCAATCAAAAGTATATATCAAAACGTATAGACACATGCCCGCTAACAGAGACGCTCCGTTTTCTTCATGCAATTTTAAAACCTAAGCATGTTAATATCTTTCATACTCTCAATCACAGGGCGGACACCACCGACCTTTCGTGATGTGTTTATGCTGTACTGCGGGCTAAGTCCAGGAGCGACTGTGAGGGACCTGTGTACCAGATACAATCCTGCAAGTCTTCGTGTAGATGAGAGGTATTGTGGGGAAAAAGCGGGGTCATAATCCCTAGGTCCTTATATCTACCGTTGATTTGTGTTCCTTCAATTTCTTTGCGGCCTTCGTTTATGGAATTTATACGCATATGGCAAATTCCTTTTTTTTTCTTTACCAATTTTCATTAAATCCTCTAGTTCATTTTTACTTGCAGGCGGTTAATTCAGTTTGGAATGGTAACAGAGATTATCCGTCGTCTTCATAAGTATCCAGTTCAGCTAACAGCGCCTTCCAAGAGTGCATCATTACCCAGAAGTTATCACAGGCCGAGGGGGAAACATTCAGACTCCAACAGATTTAAACTGTCAGATAAGTGAGTTTTACTCTGTACATAACTGGCAAGGCTTCAAATGGTCACACTTATATATCATTTACAGGAACACTTTTATAAATAGTACCATGTGGAAGTTCCGCTCACCTTTTCACTGATCCAAATCTCAGTACCGTAAGAAAGTGCTGCAAAAGAGTTTTCATTTGGAATGGTCACAAATATTCCGCGTTCACAAGTTACAATCACCCTAAATTGCATATTGAATAGTAGTTTTCATTTCAACGGTCTCACCACAGCCATAGGAAGGATTAAATCCACAGAATTGGAATTTAGAACAGCTTTATGCAGAGTAATAAATGGTACGGAAGAAAAGTTATGTCGCGCGCCATATTCATTTGAAAGGATATCTTTCACAGACTCTACATAGAAGAGTATGATAAACAGTATTCCAAGAAAGTAGAGCTCAGTAGCTTTCATTTATGTGTGCCTATCCTTTTGGATTTCATCCACAGGCTCCACGAATAGTAATAACGTTCATTTGAATGAATGTGGTGTAATCTTCGTTGGTAAATCTGGTTACACAGTGCGAGAAAAATTTGACCAAACCTGATCACAGATATATAAAAATGTACCAAAAACACGAAATCAAAGGGAAAACAACGACCGGTTGAAAAGCTCAAAATTGTTTACTTCTTGATTAAATCACAGGTGGTTAGATGGAAATCACAACTATGATGAAATATGCTGCAAAACAGGTATTGTAACAAAGTTTTTATCGTTGACATACTAAGATTAACTCACTAAAAAAGCCAATCAGAGGAGTGAACGATGTTTTTTTATAAAATAACTAAGATAGTACGCGCGCTCTGATTGGCCGAGAGCAGTGTTTGCATGAGAGTATGTAAACATGGTTGTGGCGTCAAGTTGTTTGGTTTTTCGCGCGCTAATCACGCAAGCACAAATTTGAAAAAGTTTTCGAGTTCAAAACTCAAAAAGTTTACTTTATTTACCCATTCCTTCGTCGGCTGAAACTTGGAAAATCGTTACAAAGAAGGTGTGTACATTTTTCTTCGCTTAAGCTGACCGTTTTAAGCGAGAAAAATCCGTATTTTGCAAAGCATCTTTTTGCAAAACAAGAACTGATTACGNACGCACGTGAGAAAAATATTACTTGGCCAATCAAAACCCACTGGGCTGCGTGAGTTTCGCGCCAAAATTCCCGCCTTTTTCAAATGCTTGCAGCCTGCTTGCAGTGTCGTCGCTTCGCGGGTCAAAGACTAGAGAGTTTCGTTGTTGAAACGTAAACAACAGTGTGAAGAACAGTTGGGAAAAGATTATGGAAACGCTTCGTATATTTTGCCTTTACAGCAGAAAGTGTTAGGGGCCCCACTGCAAAACAAGGTAGAAAGCAGAACCGCGAACGCTTTAATTCGCATTAGTATGTCACTCCAAATTCAGACGGCTTATTGCCTCCCCCTCCTTGTAATTCTTCTTTCAAATTTGAAAATCGCTTGTGTTCCACTTAGAAGTGTAGCTTTGTTGTACGATGAAGAAGTATGTGAACTGGTTAACTATTTCTTTCGCCTCTAGGTTTAACTTATCAAGAGCTGGATGACATCGTTGAAGGAGAACCTCACATCGTGGTTATATGGAAGTGATAACTTAGTGATGGTGTAACAACAGACCATGTGTTCAATGTAAGATTGCTTTAACCAGCTGTAGAGATCTTTCAATCGACGAAATAACCATAACAATAAGAATGTGTGACGTTATTTGTGCAGCCGGGGCCATTTTCGGAGAAAAAAACTGTTGTATGCATTAGGGCCATTTATACGAGGAAAAATAAGACGCGTCTTACATAAGACGCGAACTTTCCGTATAAACGGCACATTTCGTCTAAAATAAGACGCGGCTTAGCTAAGACGCGTCTTATTAGATAAGACATGCTCGTATGAATGGTACAGTTCGCGTCTTATTTAAAACGCGTCTTATTTTTCCTCGTATAAATGGCCCTATTGTTTGCGCCTCGAATGCGTTCGAGTTTCCTTAGCTTTACCGTCACTATTGTTTTTATGACACTAAAAGAATTCACAACGTGACCATTGTCTTTTTCTTTTCCTTTTTTTGTTCGTAATTTTTTCCGTTACCAATCGTTTACCGTTCATCATATTTACGCATCCCAGCGTGAGTCCTTTCATTTTAGTTTTATCCATAACACTTATCTTTGGGCGGATTTTAATTGCTCATTTCGTTATTTGAGAAATGGTCGACATATCTCATCTGACGTTTGCAGTAAACTTGATTCTAAATCTGACAGGAAGTAAACAGTGCATTGATAACGTCTTTATCTTGATCGCACGTATCGTTTTTAAATCTCCCACTGACGAGTTTAATTCAGCTGGAACAAACCATACCTCTTCTGTGAAATATCCCATATTGTATTTTATTCAGTCAATCTCGGCCTCTTTTTGCCAAAAAAAACTAATTAAACAGAGACGTATCTCGTCGAATGAATTACTTTGTTTTTCCACACACGGCACTGCTTATTGTTTTTTCGACGCCCATTTGAAATGTTAATTTTAAAAGCTGTTTCCTTTTAATTTGCATGTCAGAGAGCCATTGTAAAGTTACTCTGTGTTGCCATTCTTATCACCACAAGAAGCACTGAAAACAGAAAACGCGCAATGACACTAATACTGAGATGCAAAAGTTTCAGTTCAAAAAACATTGTTATTCTGCAGTTATTATTACTGTATCGAAGTTTAACCCAAGGGATAGCCCATTTATCACCCAACGAGGTCGCTGTTAACGGAGCGTTTCTGACACTCCACGGCTACGCTTCAAACGGTCCCAGATTGGGACGCTATGATTGTCGTAGTATATTACAGTGTGGTCATCTTTGCCTTAAAAACTTTCGCTGCCTTTCCTTTAACTACCAAGAGTTGAGTATTCGTAATGGATTTTGTGAATTAAGTGGAGTGAGTGTTGGATCAAGACATGAACGCGATAAACTGATCAGAAAGATGCCTGGATTCGTTTTCGTACAGTTAGTAGGAAAAGCTCCAGTAAGTGATCGGTTCACTTTGATTCAATAATGCTACTTTTTAGAGAAGAAAGAAATTGTTGATGATTCGTACTGGGGAACCTTTGGTTGTCTTCGTACAATTAGTTGGAAGAGTTCTAGTAATTCGTTTATACTTAGCACCTCCATCCGGTAATACTATCTTCTAGAAAAAAACAGGATTTGTTCTTGGTATGTACAGGGAACCTTTAGTTCTGCTTCCTGTTTTATTCGTTACCTTTTTAACAATAAGATTATAGGAAATCTTTCACTAACAGATGTTTGCAATTGGAAGCTAAATCTTTTTTATTTTTATTTACTTTGTTTTTGCATATCTGTGTGATGCTGCCTTGTGCTTGAAAATCGTGCAAAGTGAATGAAGGAATATATATTTTTTAATCTATGTCTTCTGAAATAATTATTTTATTTTTATTTATTTTTTATTTTTTTCGTGATTATCAATTGAAATTGAAAGCAAACACGCACTATGAAAAACAGGAACACAGTTCATTACAACAGATCTATACATTTAATAAGTCGGACTACTAGACTGATGTATTAAGTAAAGAAATAAGCAGCTGACAAGACGGCTGCTAATATCATGCAGCACAAGGAGCGAATTTCATCTTTCCATCACTGGCGGCGAATTTTACCAGAAAAAAAAACATAAGTTTCAATCGGAACTTCTAACAGTACTTTTTCCATCACGTCAAAATTTTTAACCGGCACTTTTTTGTTGTTGTTATTGTTGTTTTTTGGTTTTTCTTTCTCTCGATGCTCTGCTAGGGTCTGAAAAGTGATGTTCACTCAGCAGTTCTCTTCTGGAAAATAATCGTCAATCACAAAACTCATTTGGCACAGTTTTAATTACAAGAGATCCCTCTTTACGAACATTTGCTCAATAGGCCCTTTGCTGCTAGTCATTCACGTGGTACAGAACCGCTATGTTGGTTGCTGCGTTTTTTTAAGGTCTGTATCGATCACCCATTTGATAACCTTGTTTCTGGAAAAGGAAATTATTGTTTTGGAAAAATTAGTCTGGAAAAAGTCTTGAATTTTGGATCCAACAAGTCTGTATGAACCCTGTTTGAATAGCTACTGGCCATTTGAGTGTAAGGGCTCTATGTATGTTTTTACCGTTTGTTATTTCTCATTTCAGCCTCGGAGTTGCCTTGATTACCTGCGTACTGGTAGACGTTATTCGGGATTTTTCAATATTTTCGACGAAAAAGGAACTTCCATGGTAGTGTATTGTGATTTTACCTCTGAGCCCAAAGCTGCATGGACGCTCATCATGTCAGAAAGGACACCAGGATTTGATTTATTCAAAGGAGTGCCTCTTTTTAAAGATAAACCTGTAAATGAGTCTATTCCGAAGTGGGATGCGTACAGGCTGTCACTTTTTAAGATGAAGCAGCTGCGGTCGCTTTCATCTCACTGGAGAATAACTTGCAGCTTTCAGTTAGATGGATTGGTCTATCGAGATTATGTCCGTGGCAAGTTCGCAGACTTTGATATCATTGATTTTAAAGGATCTGGCACCTGCATGAGTGTTGAGTACGTTAACGTTCGAGGCTACAGCTGTAACAACTGTCAAATGGCTTGGTGGCAATATGAGAATGAAATCTTGCATCACGACAGTTCAACCCCGCGATGTGGCTATGATGCGTCCAAAGGAGCTGTAGCGACCGAAGATAACTTCGGTTTTTACACTAGTTTCAATCCTTCTTTCCGATGTACTGAGTCGGGGCGAGAATCCACGACGAATCACTGGTTTGGTTCACACTTGAATACACATTAATCCGAAGTTGAAAAAGCGAGGTCTTGTCAGAGACATACTCAAGCAACGCATTGTGATTCCTTCGAAGTGAACGGATAGATTTAAAAAACTGTTAGTTCCGCATTTCCGACCAATAATAGCCGCCAGAAGTTGTACAATTACAATCGAACCGTCCGCATTAGCGACTATTCAACATGCCTAGATTTGTTGGTCGCTTACAAAAGGTCTTGCGAGAGTAGGGCCGTAATTAGTATGTTTAGCCAACACTAAAAGCGGAACTCCCGCCTAGAAGTTGTCGTTGGCTTAAAGCAATACACTTTATTAAAAAAACAAAAACGCTGATAAATAGATGAATGAAAGAATAAATAAATAAAATAAAATGAATAAATCTACTTACAGGTAACTATAAACTTACATTTACAATAAACGCACGGGCACGGAAACACAAATTGTTTACTCAGTATACAAAATTTCAAATAATAAACACAATGTAAACTTAAATTGCAAAGCTGTTAGACTATCAACACCGCTTATCAGCTTCAAGGTGGAATTCCCTTGTCTTAGGATGAAAATGCAGGAGACTGTAAAAACGTTCCAAAGAAAAATGAAAATGCGTACAAACCAAGCTTTTTTGTTGATTTGAAAATCTCTGATACTAAGTTTGTTCCAACGAATGGACCGCAAACTACCTTGCATACAATTAAGGAATAATTTGCCACCACCGATTGAGACAAAAAGGACCTATTAGTATTAACTTATTTTAAGGCAAAGGTCATTTTAACCATCACACTTACTCGTTTGAAATTTTTGCTGTTTTTAAGCTTTAACCCTTTAAGCCCTGATATCCACTTACAAATTCTCCAAACTGATCTCCATACATTTCCTCAAAGAATGAGTTGAGAGAATTTGATAAAAGATCAAAGATTTTTCTCTTTAAGATCATTTTATCAATTCTCGTAGACTTTGCTCTTAACAATCTATGGTTATCGCTAGGAGAAAATTGATTTTGGACACTATTGGGACATAAAGGGTTAAACGAGTGAAACTTGAGCCAGTGGTCCAGGATAAACGCAGAGCGCTTTAACCGATCCTTTGTAAATCCAGTGTAAATGGGATTATTTTGAAATAAAATTTGTCAGTTGCTTGTAATTAATTTAATAAATATGACTTTTATAGTGAACGTGATTTTGTAAATATACAGATTTTATTATCATCGTTATCACAATCCTCATGATTATGATTGTTGTCATTTTTATCATTCTTACTAGCAACTAGTTATTTCTGAAATAACGTGGCTATTTTTTTTAACAAAGTCTTATTTATGGGAAACTGTGTGGTGGGGTTGATCATATCTTTAAATTAACTAATTTACCTGTATATTGTAGGTGCAATGGGTTGTCGTGAATTATGAATCATTTATTCGACTCATGTGTTAAACAATGATGAGTTTCTTACTTTAAGGTTTTCAATTCTGGCCGTCTTTGCCGCAAGACTGCCTTAATTTCAGTGTGGTGCAGATAGGTGCTATGAAGGGTAGTTGGAAGAGTGTCGCTGAGATATTCCTACTTCAAGTAGCTTTGGGGAGTGCAACGCTTTCCCCGCACAGAAGCAGATGTTTAAGAACTGGAAACTTCTCACCTCCCATTAAGAGTAAGAACTTATTTTTCCTCTTTTCTTCCTTACGTTTAAGCAACTGTATACCTATATGATCCGCCGAATATTTTTAATCAATATTGGGAATAACTTTTTATGGACGTTCCTGAATCTCCTCTCATTCTTTATCTCGTCATTTGGTATGTTTTTACTTCTAATAACTTGCTGAGATTTCGTCTGTGGGATTCCTCAGTGACTCGTTTAAAGTATCGTTTTTTTTTTTTATTGTTGCTAATATTTATCCTGCCAACAAATTTATCATATAGGGATACTTTTACAAATGGTAAATGATCTTAATCAAAGTTCTTGTTTTGGCAATACACGATCAGTGGCTAAACTATATTCTACCGTCACTTCATTATCTCGATGAAGTCGTAATCAATCTCAACTGTGTCTGCTCGAAAAGGCGGGAGCAACTGACGAAACAACACAAAATTAAAAAGTCAAAATTCCCCAAAGCAGAGAAATACTTTATATTCATACCAAAGGTTGTCTTTAAGCCTTCAGCGAAATGGAATGGAAAAATGTGCGTTTGTGAGACTATCAGTTATAGTTGTTAACACATAACGTTACAGGGTATCATAAGACTTGATTGACATGCAGCCGTTCTGGAGAAGGTTATAAACCAGACTCCCTGAAAGCGTTTGCAATAGAGCCTACTTTGTCATTGACGAACCTCCTAAAAGTCTTATGTTTAAACTCTTTTGCGCCTGAAATATTGAGATGTAAATGTTTGTGGAAATAACTTAATTTAGAAAGCCAGATATTTAATTTTCGCTCGATAGGTGGCCTTTTGAAAAACAGGTGTACACTCTAGTTTGCTCTTATACCCGTTACAGTAAATGGTAGGGTATTGGTGCTAGCAGAGAAATTTAAAAAGCCTGTTAAAATCAATTTTCCCCGGTTTTAATGTTGTCCTCGTTTGTTTTTTGTTGGAACATTCACTTGAATAGAATTGGGTTGAAACTAGGCGCCTAGTAGAAATACCCTCTACTTTCTGCAACAACTTTTTGCAACCTGCAACAGCCTGATTTGATATGACCTCACATTGTTATTCGTAACACTAAGAGACTTTGAAACTACTGCGTTTAATTGTGGAATTTCTGAAGCCATCGATCCAAGAGTTTTATTGCATTCGAATCATTCTACCAGTCTCTATCAACTACGTTAGATAAGCAAAATAGTTTGTTCACTTCCCATACTAATGTGAGTCCCACATTACAGCTTCACTTAACCTCACGAGGTATTAACAGATTAAGTATTGCTAATTATGTTATTGTTGACGTCATAGATTACGCTCTTGCTGGTCACGTGATTTCTAGCTCACAAGTACCCTCAAGAATCGACTGTGGGTTTAACTGTTTGGATGAACAGCGTTGTGTTTCGTACAACTACGAAGAAGGAGAGAAAGTATTTCATGGCTGTGAATTAAACAGCGAAAGTAAAGAGACAAGGTCGTCCGACATAACAGAGAGAACTAATTACTCTTATTATGGCTCACGGAAAAGTGTAAGTGATAAGTTTAAGATCTATCCAGTTTGCCTGCTTCACAGACGAAACCAAACTTCTGGTTAAGTCCGTCTGCGAAGAAGCGCCAAAATCCTTGTTTTCGGCCTCCACCTGTGTACCCGGATTTGAGTACGCGCCTTGATTGGCCTGTTAAAAAAGCCATTGTTGATTTAGCAATCAAGTTGAAGGGAAATAGACCTTTTTACCGATACGGCAGCCATATTGAATTGAGTCGATTTAAGGAGTATTATAGGATGCCCAGGGGGCATGAGCACATTTTGTTTGTATTTTCGAGCTCTTTTCGGGAAATTTTTTCTTAAAGTTTTCTTAGAATAAGATTGCAATGGGAAAAAAGATCCTTGTGCCGTGTTTGGAAGTAATAATGATCGCTTTTTTCCCGAGAAAATATACAGTGAAAGACCATTTTTCTAATACTAGACCAGAAAAAGGCGATCATTATTACATCAAAACACGGCACAAGGATCTTTTTTCCCATTACAATCTTATTCTAAGAAAACTTTAAGAAAGAATGTCCTGAAAAGCGCTCAAAAATGCAAACGAAATGTGCTCATGCCCCCTGGGCGTTCTATAATACTCCTTAAATCGAATTAATTCAATATGGCCACCGTATCGGTAAAAGGGTCCTTCAAAACGTATCTAGTAATTCGTTGAGTCCCCAGAACAAGGATATCGGCGTTGCTTCGCAGACGTTACTAACTGAGGCTAGATAACGTCTGCGACACAGGCTAAGACAGTATAGTACAGTACAGTACAGTACAGTACAGTACAGTACAGTACAGTACAGTACAGTACAGTACAGTACAGTACAGTACAGTACAGTACAGTACAGTACAGTACAGTACAGTTAAAATCCTCCAAGACGGTAAACGTGTGACCATGGAGTTACACTGGCGACTACACGGTCGACCAGTGCAGCGAAACGACTCTTATCCTGTGTAGACTTCTTTGTCTGTTCAATGGAGACATTTAATAATGTAGCTATATTTATCTAAGACACTCTGGTTAGGGCGCTAAATAGTGCAACTGTATACCCTGAAACCATTCCCTGTTCAGCGGCGAAATTAGGCCAAATAAGAGAGTGTCTACCCGGAAATAAATTTTGTTATTTTGTCTTGGATTGCAAGGATTCCAGTGCGTGTGCCTCATCCCCATGTGGGCATTATGGAACGTGTATAGATACATGTACCGAGGGGTCTGGGTTCAAGTGTATTTGCACTGAAGAAAGGACTGGAGACAAATGTCAGGACAATAAAAGTGAGTAGGCTGTCCAATCAAACTGTTGGAGCAGAAGATATCAACTACTGCTAGTACACTGAAGGGTTCGCTTGATCCCAACCCCTTGTTACCGGTCCCACCCCCCCCCCAACCCTAACCCTAACCCACCCCCACCCCACCCCACCCCCCTTCCAGCAGTTTATGTTATTATAATTTTTTTTCAATTGTGAGTATTATCTGCTTTCCTTGGGGCTTATTAAGAATAATTCACAACTCTGGGATTGAGATTATTATTTTCATTATTTGCTCTTATTGTTGTTATTGTTATTGTGCAAACAAACTTTGTTAATATGTTAGTTTGTCTAAAGTTTAATGCTTAAGACTTTCATTGTTTCTAGTCACGTGGTACAGAAACACTAAACTGAAAAGCTAGCAACAAAAGAAACAACAAATGATCTTGTATACAGCAGTCCCAAAATCATAGTGTTGCTTCTTGGCTTGCTCTTTGTTAGGGAACATTATGATCGTGTGAACAAATGAAAAAAGTGTTTATTATTTTAATATTTTTTTAAAAAAAAAAAGCTACCGTGCAAGATTATGAGGTTGTCTTCCCAGAAGAAAGCGTGACAGATTTCATCATGGCTGACATCACGCAGACATTGTCACAATTCACGTTATGTTTGTGGGCAAATATTGTCTCTCCTGGCTGGAGCACCTTCTTTTCTCACGTGACCTCTGATGGTGAGGAGGAGCTAATGTTAAGATGTCAGAATGTGTCGCTGTGCCAGCTGGGGTTGATAGAACAGACGAAGTAAGAACAACTTAAATTGATGCAATGATCATAAAAATGAACTGTTTATCAAAGGTTTTTGCTAAGTTATTGCAGAGAAAAATTTAGACAGTCATTCCAAGCTAAAGGGTTGATATATCTATTTTACACATTAGAGAAAGATTGTTAGTCGTCTCTTCTTCCCCTATCCTGGCCTCTCACCACGTTTTGAACAAGTTGCGATTTTGAGCGAAAAAAATAAGGTCACATCACATGATCAAACCTTTAAAAAAACGTTGCTATGCACAGCCAATTACTGTATACCGAGTGCACTTTAAAAACAGACAGTACGAAATAAAAAGGACATAGAGAAATCTTATATGAATCTTGCTTCAGTACACAGGTCGCCCAGTCTTCTCAGTATTTGCAAGTTATGTTTGAGGTTTAAAAATCCCTTTAGTATAGCTCCTTTTGAGAACTCTTGACCACAGACAGACCAACTGAAAAACTAAATAGCAGCAGTTTGATGATTCGCGAAGGAGACTTAGATTCTGTTGAAACAGGCCAAAGCCGATCAGTGGTTCGATGGGATGGGTATCTCTGTCAATTAATCACGTGAATTTTCTTCATTATTTCAGGTCTTTCTATGTTGTCCCTTTCAACGACAGTTTTTGGCACCATATTTGCGTGAGCTGGGAGAATGGACAGGGTATTTGGGATGTAATTATTGACGGAAGCGTGATGGCCCACGGAAGTGCTTGGCGTCAAACGCTAAATCTTCGACCAGGATTATTGATTGTTGGTCAGAGACAAACTAGTCATGGAGGGGGATTTACTTTAGAAGAGTCTTTTGCTGGAAAAGTCGCCTCCGTAAATGTGTGGGACGTGAAAATTGCTTTGAGTTTCATCAAGGAAATGGCAAGGACTTGTAATCAAGTGTTAGGGAACGTAACAAATTGGGCAATGTTTCGAAATGGCTTCAATGGACATGTCCAGGTTCGCTCGCCTCATAGCTGTGTTTCACCACGTAAGTAAACCCAATGAGCCTCGTTTGACCTTGTTTTGTTTAAGATCTTCACTGCGAGAATAGTCACAAAATTTCGCCGCGCTATCGATATGTATTCCCATCATCTCTTTCCTTTTACTAAGCCGGTTACTGGTCCTTAATGGGGACCGCAGTCTACCTATTTAAGGGCCTGATTACATTGAGGTGGAGGACCCCAGGAAGGTGAGGTAACCCGCCTGTCCATATAATCTCTCATATGGTCATCCCACCTATCAAGTAAACGTGATCAAATTAAGATGAGATATTATATGGACAGGCAGGTTACCCCACCTAAGCGGGTTACCTCACCTACTTGGGTACCACTGTCTCCATGTAAACAGGCCATTAAATCACGTTTTCGGGTTTTTCCCCCATCTTTTCGCGAAGTTTTGCTTGCGGGAACTACTAACACAAAGTTTTCCCCACCCTCCTCCCCTTCGGCGACGTGTATCCGTCCGCCTGTGTATTTTCTGCTTTTTGCTATCCCGGCAATGAGTAGCTATTGTGTATTACAGTTTGTTTGTGTTATTTTTCTCCGTCAACTTAACAAGACTTAACGGCATTTAAAACATTCCGAGGCTCCCTATCCCGGCAAATCGCGATCGTAGGTACAACCCTGGTGACTGGTGAAACTATTCTTTGTCTATTCCCTTTAATTAGTTATCTCTTTTTATAACTTTGTTCCTTAAAAAAGACAATTTCGTTTTCAGTGGCAGAAAATGAATTCATTTTGGATTTTCCATCACGTCAAACATCTAACTACGTCGAAACAACCATCTCACAAACTCTAAGTCAGTTCACTTTCTCTCTGTGGATGAAGCGAGGCTACGATGGAGATCTTGATGCTGGTCTTTTTTCCTACTCCACGTCACAATCTGTAAACGCGCTCGAAATTATATTGGGAGGCAGTGGAGGCTCCAACCTATATGTTATGACAAGCGCGTAAGTCAGCATTTTGTCAAATGGCTTTCACATGGCTCTATTTATCTTTAGGTTGTGTTCTACTGGGATTTAGCGTTCCATGCAAAATCGGTTTTGGCAAATTTTCGAAGTCCCTACAAAAACAATTTTCGTTGAGACGTGACTTTTTAATGACGAGAAATAAATTATTTTCCCACCTGGGGGTAGCCATATATTGAAAAAGGTGTCAAAACTCGTTTTACAGGGCAACGTCAATGTTCATGTACACGTTCACGAGGACTTTCAAATATTCCCAGATAAACTGTAGGAAACGTCTTTAGTGGTCATAGCTTGAATGATTTTGAAGTTTGATAGATCGAGTTAAGGTACATTAAAACCGCCATTAATATTTCTTGACAAGTTTTTGTTTTAAATTTTAGGTCTTATAACTACCGTTTACCACCTACCACTGATGACCTTTGGCATCACTTTTGCGCGACATGGTCAAATACCGAGGGTAATGCTCAAGTCTTCTTTGACGGAGTATTGAAAAGTTCAAGATGGGGATATCGAGTGAACGTTGTGATCCCAGCTGGAGGAATACTGCGAATAGGACAAAATCAGATAGCTTTCGGAGGAGACCATAACCCTGTACACAGTTACCATGGTAAATTTGCTCGAATAAACATGTGGAGTAAAGTCCTCGATGACTCCGCCATTGTTGCGCTAGCGAGAGGGTCTGGTGCCGAGAATGGAGACATCATTTCCTGGACAGAGCTGCGCACAATGACTCATGGGAATGTTGCCGTGCATTCAAGCAATCTACAACTAACAGGTGGAGGCTTGCTTAATTTTTTTTTTTCTTATAAAATAGTGCAGCAAACAAAGTCGCATGCTCTATTTATCTGATATTACCGTAGATACTGTAAAATCTTACTAGTTTTCCTTCATTTTTCATGATGGGGTTAAATGAAAATAACAATAAAAAAATGAAACAAGACCCTCGCCTACAATGACACTCATTTATTAGTCGTTTATAAAAGTTATAAAATTTGACAAAACGATTAATCGCGCTTGAGTTTATTGTAACAAAACGAGGAGAAGAAAGAAAGAAACCTCAATCGCCAACTGTGAAGTATTAGACGAAAAATATCGCATCGCTGTTCAAGGAATTTTCAGTGTTCACAGACTGGTTGTTTGACTACGCTTTTTGTTAAAAACAAACCAAGAAGACTGGTGTCCTCGCTCGGTGGCTGTTTGCTTTTGTTTTTAAAGATTTATGTACTAAAAATCGGGGGAAATTGCCGAGGAAAATATCAAGACAACGGAAAAATAGAGATTTCAGTATTTTAAATTCCAGAGCGCCTAGCCAAAATAATAAAACTAGTAGAACATCGTGTCGCCGTCTTTTCGAAAACTTTTTACCTTCTACTCCAACAGAAGTAACCTTCGAGATCTCCCTTAATCTCGCAAGAAGTTAAATGTGATTGTGCGGACTATTTTATTTTTAGCTGAAAAAATTAACAGATAAAAGCACGCAAAAGTGGAGGTATCGTGCAAGAGGTTTATTTTATGGTATGAAAGATAAAGGGAGAGTTACTAGAGTATAATAAACCTAAAAAGATAATACCATATGTATTACAATATTTTACTTTGCTTATTTTTTTTTAGCCCAGGAAAGTGACTATGATCTGAATTTTGCGTCCAAATCTACTGCTAATTACGCTGTTTACAATGAGATGCCTTCGCTGACTGAACTGACCGCCTGTGTGTGGATCAGAGTGACTCATCAGTCTGTACACTATATATTTACCTACGCATCCAGCTCCTCTCCAGACGCCATTGCGTTGGGTTATTATGCCAACTATAGTTCACTTACACGCCTATACTTTAACATCAATGCTTGGTCTTTTATGTAAGTTGATTTAACCTGTTCGTATATCTCATAAATCAGGGGTACTTACTATTTACAATGGAAATCCGGAAATTTCGGTTTGAAGATCAAATGGTTCTTGCCATTCCGTTCGGGGAGCTTCAGAAAACATGTGATACTTAATACTAAGTAGTGCACGCGCGTGAGCCAGCGTCATTTTGGCGGGAAAATGTGGTAGCCGTCGTCATTCTACTACAAGTTTTCGGGTAAATGTCGTGGTGGCGAAAACAAGATATCAAATGTTAGAAGTTTTATCATTTTGCGATCCGGAGAGCACGTAACCTCCTTCACGAAAGATAACAGTGCTAACTTTTTTAGTGAAAAATGGTAAACTGAAGCTTTCCGAGAAGTCTATATTGCGATAATACGCACTCGTAGTCGTCCTCGTCCTCAAATCTAAAGGTCGCTAATTTGTTCTCCCGCCACGACAGCGTTTATAGTTTTATGTTTATGCACACGGTTTCCACCCGGGTGGTTTGTGTAAATGGTAAGCCTCCCAGATTTTCGTATAATATAAATGTTAATCGTTGTTAATAATGGTAATTGAACTGAGTGGAGTGCAATTTGGTCTGAAATCATACGAGTGATTTCAAAATCGCGAGTTCGATTTGAAATCATCAGAATGATTTCAGACCAAAATTGCACGGTACGAAGTTCAATTACCACTTTACTACAGCCATTTTGAAATCGCAGAATTCTATCAGTACCAATATTTTATTGATCAAGTAGCCAGTTTGTTGAAAAGCGGAAACAAAAAGGTATTTACATCTCATTTTGTATTCGAAACAGAAATGATGCGATTTATAACATAAATAACGCGATTTAGAACAAATGTGATTTAGAGCAAAAAATTTAGTGATTTGTGAATTAATCACATTGCTGAGAGCTAATCAGATTGCAGGGATCACTAGTGATTTCAAAATGGATATGATAGGGATATTATGGTCTGAGTAAAAGTGGTAAATGGAAATGCTAAGCAGAACGAGCAAGTACAGGGACCTGATGACCACTATAGTGCCCAAACACAAGGTCTCGATCTTGTATACACCTTTGAATACACGGGTTTTTCATAAAAGGTGTCCATGGGAAAGCTTTAAAAAAAGGAATAGTTCAAATAAGTACCGGGGAGTACCAAACACGGTATTGTACCCAGGTACGAAGCGTTCTCACTGCCTTATTTTTACAACTTGATTTTTAAGACATCGTGACTTATCGCCCGGGCTGCATGATGGTGGCTGGCATCACGTGTGTTTTACGTGGTCCAACTCTGATGGAGAGTTGTGTCCTCATGTGAATGGAGAAGTGCTTACGTGCTTCACTGACTACAAAACCGGCGAGACCATTCCAGGAAACGGACAATTCATTCTTGGCCAGGAACAGGACGCCTACGGTAAGCTGTTTATTCGAGAACGTTAGAGGTATTTTATTTATAGGAGTACGTTAAGTTTTCAGGAGCAAAAAGGTGCTTTTAGATTGGCTAATTTTTTCTTCTTTTTTTTTTCGAGGCAAAATTATATAATAATTCCATGAAAATACCTCTTAAAGTTTCTATGTTATTTACATCAATCTAATTTTTCAGTAAAATTGAAGATACGTAGCCATTAATCATTAAGAATGACGTCACAGGTACCCAGCGGAGCC